CCATCATGAAACTTGTGGGTCTCTGTGGAAACAGGAAGTTGATCCACAGAGGTTCTTGCACCTGCAGTTACGTGCATAGCCCAGAAGTTACCACTTTCACTTCTGCTCACTGCTCATCACTCTAAAGTAGTCACATGGCCCCACCTACTGCAATGTTCCAGACAAGGCAACCCCCCATGTGGCTAGCAAGTGGAGAGCCAGAAATACTTGGTGAAAAAACTGTGAATGAATACTTGTTTACATTTTTTTCTTTTGTAACCAACACTGTTGTGAATATTCTTGAATTTAGTGCTTTGCACAATCATTTCATAATTTTCTGAGCATAAACTTTTAAAATTGTATTGCTGATGCAAAGGATAAAGCTACTTCAGAAAGTGGTGCCTTCTAACATCACCCAGCACAGTGTATGAGAGGCTGTGGGCTGCAGGAAATACAAGCTGACTTTGGCTGAACTAAGCAGTAAAGCAGTTTGTTAACAGGACATTGACTAGCTCTCAGATTCACTGAGAGGTTGGAGCACCAGGCATGTGGCTAAAAAGACAGGGAACAAGCCCCAAAGCATGTCTCAACAGAGTTTCAGATGAGATCTCTTGTGCTGTGACAGAGTCTGGAGAGAAAGAAAAGAGAGACAGAGATTGACAGATTGCTTCTGGTCTTCTGCTTGCTTCACAAGCTCTAAAGTCAGAGTCAGGAGGGGTCATTCATTGGCAGATCCTCAATCACATGCATGTGCCTTAGCTGAAAAAGTGTCTGGGAGAGTTACTGTTGAGCTTTTTCTTTTCCAATAATGCACACTAGTACTTTTCCGGAAGTCAATACCCAAAGATAAGGAATCCTGAAAACAGGATTTTTTGTTGTTGTTGTTCTGTATATTATTTTGGCAGCTCTTTGTAAGTTTGAAATTATTTTTAAATAAAAAGTTTAAAAAATTACTACCATAAACACAAAACCAGAATAAATAGAAAGCAATTGTAAAAATACACATGATGCATAAACAAAAAGGTGCCACAGCCTGCTGTCTATGTTTAAATAGGGAGATTTGTGGATGTTTCCAAATTATGGTGACCCCATACATGTCAGAGTAGAACTGTGCTCTGTGAGGTTTTCAATGACTGATTTTTCGGAAATACTGTCAAGATTTTTTTCTGAGGTACTTCTGGGTGGACTTGAACCACCAACCTTTCAGTTATATAAGAGGGTTCAGGTAGCAAGAAGAAAAAATGAAGGACAATTATCCACTCCATTTCCTAACAATAGGTCCTGTCAATCTTGATGTTTGTCTTAGGCTGGGTTCTCTAGAGAAGCAAAACCAGTAAAGCATATAAGTATATATATAGATAGAGAAATTTATACTAAGGAAATGGCTTAGGCAGTTGTAGAGGCTGGAATGTCCTAAGTCCATGGGTTGGATTGAGGCTTCTCCTGATTCATGTAGCCACAGAGGCTGACAAACCCAAGATCAAAAGGTCAGAGAGCAGGGCTCTTGCTCACAGGCTGTGAAGACTGATGAATCCCAAGATCGGCAGGTTAGACCGCAGGTAAGCTGGTAGCTCAAGTCACAAGAACTGGAGGTCAGACAAACAGTAGCCAGCTGCAGGATCCAGCATAAGCAAAAAGCCCCCGAATCTTGCCGGAATGTCCATTTATATTCGATGCAGGCCACATGCCCACGGAAACTCCCTTTCAACTGATTTGCTACTCACAGCAGATACCATCATGGGGGTGATCACATATCAAATCTCAACATGGAAGTGAACACAACTTTATACGACTGCCAAACACTGAGAATCATGGCCCAGCCAAGTTGACACAGTCTTAACCATCACAGTCCACTGCTTCTCAACTTTGCACCTGTACACATCTCCTTAAACCCTACATAATCTCTGAATAAAGACAATTATAAAGTCATACTTGATACTCCTAACATGATACAACAAACAAACGTACAGCTGAAAATGCACTAGCCCTGTTTACATCTTATATTTTATAAGTGAAGAAAACAAGAATATTTGATGTACATATACAAAGCAGAAATACTCATAACAATTACAGTCCTCATTTCTGCAACCAGTCATGTGGCCGTAACTGGTATTTAGAACTATCTTCTTCCACCACCATTCCATTTGCTTTTGCCCTCAGCAAGCACCTCAGCTGGTCTTGGTTCTTTGTGTGGTGGGGTGACCCAAACTTTCATTCCTGAAGGGTCAGGGCCATTAGTAGTCATTTCAGAATCTGGTTGATGTAGTTTTCCATTAACTTTAATCAGTACAGGGCATGGTAGTACTAAGAGATGACCTAAGGGATCTCCTGTATTCCAGACATACTCTTCTTTACCTCCATTATGTGATATCAATCTGATTTCCCCTCAGTAATCAGGATCAATCACACCAGCCAGTGTGGTAACTCCTTTCTTTGCCTGTTGATCCAGAGACATAAGGACACAAAGTGGCCAGGTAGCATTCTTACCTTCCAGGTCAATGGAATCAGTGATGTGTCTCAATGTGGAAGCATTCTTTCCTTTGGAACTAAGACCTCTAGACCTGCACAGCAAAGGTCATGGGGGCAGGAAGCAAAAATATTATGAGTGAGTCACTAGGGGTAATAGTGAGTGATGCCACTCCCATTTCCACCCATTGATTCCTACACCCATGAATCCTGGCTATGAGAGAAATGACACCATATACTGGACCCCGGTTTAGAGTATATACTGTCTCCTGGAGAACATTGCCCTAACCCTGCAAGATATTGCCACCTAGCTTGCACCATAATTGTGTCTTTAGAAGGCCATTCTATCATTCTATCAAACTAGCTGCTTCAGGATGATGGGGAACATGGTAAGATCAGTGAATTCCATGAGCATGGGTCCACTGCTGCACTTCATTTGCTGTGAGGTGAGTCCGTTGATCCGAGGCAATGCTGTGTGGGATACCATGATGGTGAATAAGGCATCTCTATAAGTCCAGGGATGGTAGTTTTGGTAGAAGCATTGCTTGCAGGAGAGGCAAATCCATTTCCAGAGTAAGTGCCTATTCCAGCAAGAACAAAATGCTTCCCTTTCCGTGATGGAAGTGGTCCAATGTAATCAACTTGCCACCAGGTTGCTGGCTGATCTCCTCAAGGGATGGTGCCATACTGGGGACTCAGTGTTGGTCTCTGCTGCAGGCAGATTGGGCAGTCAGCAGTGGCTGTAGCCAAGTCAGCCTTGGTGAGTGGAAGTCCATGTTGCTGAGCCCATGCATAACCTGCATCCCCGCCACCATGACCACTTTGTTCATGAGCCCACTGAGCAATGACAGGAGTAGCTGGGGAAAGAGGATGAGTGGTTGCCACAGAATGTGTCATCGTATCCACTTAATTGTTAAAATCCTCCTCTGCTGAGGTCTCCCTTTGGTGAGTATTCACTTGAGACACAAATATCTTCAATTCTTTGGCCCATTCAGAGTGGTCTATCCACATACCTCTTCCGCATAAATCCTTGTCTCCAGTTTTCCAATCATTTTCCTTCCAAGTCCCTGACTATCTAGCCAAACTATTGACCACAGCCCACGAATCAGTATACAATCACACATCTGGCCATTTCTCCTTCCAAGCAAAGTGAACAATCAGATGCACTGCTCGAAGTTCTGCCCATTGAGAGGATTTCCCTTCACTGCTGTCCTTCAGGGAGGTCCCAGAAAAGGGCCATAGTGCTGTTACTATCCACTTTTGAGTCGTGCCTGCATATCTCAAATAACCATCTGTAAACCAGGCACGAGTTTTCTCTTCTTCAGTCAACCGATCATAAGGAACTCCCCATGAAGCCATAGGTACAGACTTTGAGGTGGAAGGTAATGTGACAGGAGTGGAGACCATGGGCATTAGGCCACTTCCTCATGCAACTTACTTGTCCCTTCAGATCCTGCTTGGACCCAATCTTGTATATACCACTTCCATTTAATGATGGAGTGCTGCTGCACATGTCCAACTTTATGACTTTATGGGTCAGACAACATCCAGTGCTTTACCAGTTTGGTTAAAAAAATAAAAAGGAAAATTCACTTTTTTCTCTTTAATTTCTATTTCATTTTTACTACAGTTGATGAAAAAATTTATCCTGTTGACTTACTTCTCTCTGATTTGCCTCTCTTTATCTCTTCAGAGAGGAGTCCCTGGGTGGTCAAAACAGCTAAGTGCTCACCTACTAGCCAAATGGTTAGGGGTTTGAAGCCACCCAAAGGCAACTCAGAAAATAAACCTGGTGATCTGCTTCCAAAAGATTACAGCCTTGAAAATCCAATGGAGCAGTTCTGCTCTGTAAACGTGGGGTCTCCATGAGTTGGAATCAACTCTCCAGCAACCAACAGCAACAACATCTTTTCGAAGACTGGGTCTTGGTCATCTCTGTACTACCTTCTCCTCCCTTCCCTCTCCCCAGAGAACACAGCATTGTGATTTGCCTGCAGTAGCTGGTGTTACTTGTGGTTAGAAGAGTGAATGAATGAGTGAGCCCTCAGCTGGTCAAGGTGTCCATACTCTTCAGCCTAGCCTGGACAGAGAAGGGAGCATGGGACTAACTTTGTGTTTCCCTCCTAGAGTGGCAGGGGACAGGAAACTGTAGGTGACCTGAGAAGTCCCTGTCAGTCACATCCTGATATAGGTCACTCTGGTGCATCGTGTCCTCTCAGTAGCCCTTGGGGCCCATCACAGGTTCAGGGAGACTGTGCCAGGCGGGCAGTTATTCTTCAACCGTGCCCCCTTTCTTCTTGGTAAATCAGATTTGAATCTCAGAGACCAGCTCAGCAGGGCTCTTTCAGAGTCCACACCCATATCTGCCAGGTCATTAACCACCGTGTGCCTCAGTTTCCCCATTTGTCATGCAGTGTCACCATGTAGGCTTGTGGTAAGGATTACATGAGATTGTACATGGAATGTGCTGAGCATAAGGTCTAGCTCACAGTTTGCAGTCAGTCAGCGGAAGTTGTTTCTGATAAATACCTGAGACAACAGACAGGGTCTGTGGGATGAACAACAGTCCTGTGTTTCCTGCAGGAGTGACAGGTGAGGAGAACCTGCAGGTAACTTAGCCAAGAAGTCGGTGTTGGTTGAAGCTGGAGAGGTGGTCCCTCTGCCCTGTGTTGTCTACTCTCTGAAACCTGTGGGGCCCATCCAGTGGTTTAGCGGGACTGGGCCAGATTGGAAGTTAGTCTACAGTTTCAAAGGAGGCCTAGAGTACGTATATCTCTTCCACTGAGTAACAAATGTTATAGACCACACAAAAAGCAGCAACAGGGACATTCCCATCCACATCAGTAACATCACCCTAAAAGATGCTGACACCTACTTCTGTGTGAAGTTCAGGAAAGGGAGCCCTGATGACGTGAAGTTTAAGTCTGGTCCTGGGACACAGGCGACTGTGAGTGGTGAGTAGTGTGGGTCTCCTCCCCCCAGTGTATGACAACAACTCAATAATAACGCCCTCTGTTCTTAGAGGAACAACAAAGTATCAGGTGTGATTGTGGGTGTTTATACTCATGGTCACATTTCAGCCCCTTTTACAGATCAGGGAGCTGAGGCCTAGAGGGCATACTATTTGCTCAAGGCCCCACAGCTGATAAAAGGTGGAGAAAAGGCTAGAAACCTAGTCAGTCCAGCTCCAAACCCTTGCCTTTCCCAATCTGGTCCCCACAGATGAGGGGACTGTCAGTTTGGGTGACTTGCCCAGTCACAGGCCAAACCTCACCTCCTGCCCCCAAATTCTTCCCCTGCATCAGGGTCATGTCTCCTCTTATTCGGCAAACACTTGCAGAGGAACTACTGTGTGCCAGGCTCTGCTCTCGGTGTTTGGAAACAGCAAGGAACAAAGCGGGCAAAAGCTCTTCCCCACGAAGCTTCCGTTCTCTTCCCTCCAAGGAGGAGAGGGTCGGTATAGGGCAGAGAGAGGGTGTGAGATTCTTTATTTGGTCTTCAGGAACATCACACTGAGCACAAAGTCGTAAGAGGCAAAGACTCACTGTTTGATCTGAGAGCCCTGGTTGGGGGAGATGCCGAGAGGGCTAGCTGGGCCAAGGGCTCTGCCGGGAAAACCCCATGATTCAGGAACGACACCCCCACTGAGCACAGAGGCTCTGAGCCAGGCCTGGTCATCTCAGAAAGACCCTCACCCCAGGGATGAGACTCCCAATGTGGGTGACTGAGGAGTTACCCAGTTGAGACAGCAAAGAAGATGCTCCTTTTGAGTTTTTTTGAGTTTTTTGCCAGAGGGCCAGGATTGTCTTCCCAACTCCTAGATCCTGGAATATCAGCCTTACAGGACCTTTAGACACCAGCCATCCCAGCCCCCACTCACAAATGGGGTGCCTGAAGCCAGGAGACAACAGGGCCCTGCCTATGGTCACAGGGCAAGTTAGTGTTGGGATCTGGACTGGAATGCAGATCTGGTTCCAGGCCAGGCTCCTTACTGCTCCGGCATTAGACACTCTGTCCATGGAAGAGCCTGGCGCACAGTAGGTGCTGAATAAAAACACATTGAACGGGACCATTGAGCAGGACCCAGCATTGTTCCTTTTCATCAATTTCCCAAAAGTTGAGAATGCCCCTCACACTCAGACCCCGGGGCCCATAGGTGATTGCAAACCCTAAGGCCCATAGGTGATTGCAAAGCCTCTCTCTAACTTAAGCCAGACCATTCTGTATTAGCCTTATCAGTATATACAGAGAGCTTCTCTCTCTCTTTTTAAATTGTGCTTTAGGTGAAAGTTTACACAGCAAATTAGTTTCTTATTCAAAAATTTATACACAAATTATTTCGTGATATTGATTGCAATCCCTGCAATGTGTCAGCACTATCCCCCTTTCCACCCTAGCTTCCCCACTTTCATTTGGCCAATTTTCCTGACCCTTCTTGCCTTCTTGTCTTTGCTTTTGGCCAGGTGTTGCCCATTTGGTCTCATATACTTGATTGATCCAAGAAGAACATTTCTCACCTGTGTTATTTTTTGCTTTATGGCCCTGTCTAATCTTTGGCTGAAAGGTGGACTTCAGGAGTGGCTTCAGTTCTGAGTTAGAAGGGTGTCCGGGTGCCATAGTCTCAAGGGTTCCTCCAGTCTCTGTCAGACAAGTCTGGTCTTTTGTGTGAATTTCAATTTTGTTCTACATTTTTCTCTTGCTCTGTCTGGGACCCTTACTGTGATCCATTTCAGAGTGGTTGTTGGTGGTAGATGGGCACCATCTAGTTCTTCTGGGCTCAGGCTGGTGGAGGCTGTGGTTCATGTGGTCCATTAGTCCTTTGGACTAATATTTGTCTTCTGTCACTGGTTTTCTTCATTCTCTTTTGCTCTGGACAGGATGGGACCAATAGATGTATCTTAAATGGCTGCCCACAAGCTTTTAAGACTCCAGATACTTCTCATCAAAGTAGGATGTAGAATTTTCTTTCGGAATTATGTTATGCCAGTTGACCTAATTGTCCCCTGAGACTATGGCCTCCAGCCCTCAGCCCTAGTAACTCGGTCCCTCAAGGTGTTTGGATGTGTTGAGGAAGTTTCTATGACTGTGCCCTCTTTGTGCTCTATTATGATATGAATATATATGCTGTACATACAAATACGTACGTAAAAATATCCACAGCCTAACGTATATATGTATGTGGTTATACTCCCATTTGTTGCTTGTTTTTTTTTCCCCTCAAATTTTAAAATTCTTTCTACATTAGGAAAAATAACTCTTCATACCTGATATATGTGGCAAATATTTCCCAAAGTATGTCATTTATCTTTGCTTCTAGTGTCAGTTTTATCAGCCTTTTCATTTATGCATCTGGATTTTTAGCCAAATTTAGAAAGCTTTTCCTCTGCCAAGTTATAAAAGAATTTACCTCTATTCTAGTACCTGTGGTTTAATTTTTTACACTTACATCTCTGATCATTTGGAATTTTACTTGTATATGGTATAGTGGTTAAGTGCTACGGCTGCTAACCAAAAGGCTGGCAGTTCGAATCCACCAGGCGCTCCTTGGAAACTCTATGGGGCAGTTCTACTCTGTCCTATAGGGTCGCTATGAGTCGGAATTGACTCGACAACAACTTTTTTTTTTTTTAATGGTATGAGCTATGGTCCAATATTTTTCTAAATGGATATCCAGTTGCCCAACATAATTTATTAAAATGTCCACCTTTACCCAGTGGTTTGAGATATCACCTTTATCATATACTAAAACTACATATGTACTTGTGTTGATTTCCTGACTTCCTTTTTGATTCTACTGGTGTATTTGTCTATTCATGCCAGTACCACACTGTTTTAATTCTAAAGATTTCACAGCGTGTTTTAATGTCTGGTAAGGCTAGTACTCTGTTTTAGCTTTTTCTTTTCGTTTTTTTCCTGGATATTCTTTTCCATGTGAACTTCATAAAAGAGTTTGTTACTTTTTTTTTTTTTTAAATCGGAATTGTGTTAAATTTATAAATTAACTCAGGGATAACAGATAACCTGATTCTAATCTATGAAAATATTTTTTGAGAAAAATCAAAGAAATTTTAACACAGATTTGGTATTAGATACTACTAAGCTATTATCATTAACTTCTTTGGAGATGATAGTGGTATTGTGGTTATGGGAGAATTCATCTTTAATTTTTAGAGAAACATAACACATTTAGGGATAAAACATCATATTAGGGATTAGCTTTGAAATAATTCAGCAAAAAGGAGAAATAGGGGAAGATGAAGCAAGTGAGTAACATGCTTATAACTGTTGAGTGTACCTTAAAACCCATTGCCGTCAAGTTGATTCCAACTATAGCGACCCTATAGGACAGAGTAGAAATGCCCCATAGGATTTCCAAGGCTGTAAATCTTTATGGAAGCAGACTGACACATCCTTTCTCCCATGGAATGGCTGGTGGATTCAAACCACCTACCTTTCGATTAGCAGCCAAGCCCTCAACCCTTGTGCCACCAGGGCTCCTACATCTACCTTGACCCCCGTTGAACAAAAACAACCAAACTTGTTGCCATCAGGTTGATTCTGACTCATGGCAACCCCATGTATGTCAGAGTGGAACTGTGCTCCATTGAGTTTTTCAGAGGTAGATCACCAGGCATTTTTTCTGAGGCATCTCTGGGTGGACTCGAACCTCCAACCTTACGGTTAGCATAGAGCATATTAATTGTGTACATCACTCAGGGACCAGAATCCTATTCCATTTTCAAGATTCACCTCAACTTCTCCTCTTGTGGTAAATTGTATTGTGGCCAAAATGTTTGCTGCCCTTCCCCACTGAGCCCATTCCTTCAGAAGAATTATTTTTCCCATCACAATGACATGGCTATGTGATTTGCTTTGGCCAATGAAGGTTAGTGGAAATTCAGTGCCATTTTCAAATAAGTTTTAAGAGCCACAGTGTGGTTCCATCATCACTCTTTTTATGACTCTGCCTTGAGACCCCCACGACCTATAGACAGGCTGCCCCTTTTACCTGGATCCCAAAACCAATGAGCTAAGACTCACTTGAACTGTAGTCAGGAGGCAATACAAGTGAGAAATGATTGTTTGCCCTTATTAGCCATTGCATTATTTCAGGGAGAATTGGCTCATTTATTTTTGACAGTGCACTTGAAGATAAGACATCATAACAAGAATATATGAAGAAATAGAGAAAAAGACTGGTTTAGGAAGAAAAATAGTAGTATGATCTCAAATTCTGATAAGTTTAACAATAAACTTTTGATGTTTTGTAGGGAAGTAGGAATACAGGTGAGACAGTGATAGAGAGAAAACGGGTTCCTCATAATATGTGGTAGTCAAAATCATTAAGGTTCATAAGTTGTTTAGGATGTGAATATAGACACAGAGAAAGAGTATATGACACTAAGTCCTATGAATCACTCTAGTGTGAAGAAAAGAGAAAGAAATAAGAGAAAAACTGAAAAGAGAGACATAAGAGACTAGAAAACTCAGAATACTGTGGTGTTGAGCAAGAGAAAGGAAAACATTTCAAGAAATGCAACTGGATCCAGGGACCCAGGCTTTCAATATCAAGATTAATTTGAACCAGGTAATTTTAATATTTTTCTCTGAACCAGTTAAATGTATTAATATAGAGAAAGAGAATATTATGACCAGAGAAAAATAAAAACTATGGCCAAATCAAAACACACAAAAGTAGATTGAAATGGATAAATCTATACAGGTAGTTCCCAACATACAATGGGGCTCTGTTTCGATGACTCCGTCATTAAGTTGTTTCTGACCTAAGTGGAATTTCTCATTTTTTTTTTCTTTTTTAGTTTTCATTATTATTGCCTTTTACTATTGGTATTTCTATAAATCCAATCTTTATTTGTCTTTGGGGGTTGACGTGAGAATGATAACATCAGCAAATTACATCCTGCAACATTGTGTATAGTACATATTACTAATG